TCAGGAAAATAAGTCCATCTGTTTTTGAAGTTCTGTTGTCATGCAGACCCATCCATTCATTTATGTACGGTCTACGGCTGCTTTCACACAACAGAGACAAAGGTGAGCAGCTGAGACCACACGGAATGATTTGACACCAAAATGGAGACCACATGGCCTGCAAAGACAAAAACAGTTACTGACTTATCAGTTTCATTAGCTTTTAGTTTACTGGACTTTTTTGTTAGCAGTTTCACTTTTTTAAATAATCATTTGTTTCTTATTTCTTAAAATAATCGTGTATTTCACATTATTCCTTTGCTACCTTTTTATTCAGTGACTGCAAGAAATGACCATCTAGACGAACACCCAACAGGACTCTTCTCCAAAGCTCAAGGCCTATCAGACTTCAGGCCAAGTCGAGACTTAAGACCATGCCATAACAAGGTCCAACCCCACCATCCAGCCACTCTTTGAGCCTGCTAATCATATTGTTATCTGATGAGTCCTACACTCTGCAGGTATCGTAACATAAAATGGCACACCACCTCCTGATTGCACAGATAGGGTATACTTTGGCCCAGCACACTAGACCTGCCCATTTCAGGTCAAGTTATCCAAGACCCAGCTACAACCTAATAAATGCTTAAGTTAGTGAGACCTAATGTCTTTCCCCCAGACCTACAGATTTTAAATCTTCTGAAATGTATTCTTTATCTCAAATGGGTATAACCATATTCAGATCTGTAAATCCATATAATGACTATAGAGTTTGCCAGGGTTTTAACTAGAGATAATTCTTTTATATTTACAATTTTAATGACTATTTGCTGTTTGCCAGGCAGCATAATAGATATGAGATTTAAAGTCAAATAAGATATTGATTATCTCCTTAGTGTCTTTATGGTCAAGTTACAGAGGAAAACAGGTAAAACAACAATTATAATACAGTGGGGGTAGGTTTTATTGAGATATAAGAATGCAGGGAAAGCTTCTAGGAAAGGGTGACAGAAATGAGTCCACCAGGATCCCACACTATCAGTAGACTACTCAGACCCCTTCCCCAGCACCCGAAAGCCCCCTAAACCATGACACAGAGTGATATAAGCTGAAAGGAGGCATCCCATGAATGCTGAATTAGAGGGAACCAGGCACAGAAGGGCCCCCCTTCTGTAGAGACCAATGCTAAGGAACAGAGGCGCATGAAGTGGAGATAGAAATGAACAAGCAATAGTATAATCCCACCTGTGCCCAACCTCCCACCACACACACATGCATGCCCATCCATATGGCCCTGCAGTGGACAACACTAGGAAAAATAGATACCCCCACACACCCAACACAGTCAGTCATGACTCCAGGAAGCCCCGAGAGAATAAGACAAGACACAGCAGGTGTGATTAAGGCTTTATTGGGGATCAGACAGGCTGGGCAGGAACCACGCTGGGAAGCAGGGCCTGCACACCAGGCCAGGTCTGGTCTTCAGGGCAGTGCTGGGAGCTCAGAGCAGAGCCCCGTGGGCCAGGGGTCTGGCTGGACTCCTCACAGCAGAAGTAATCATGAAAGGGAAGAATAGTCTGGGTGGCTTTAATGCAGCAGGGATAATGTGGGGTGGGGGAGGAACTTTGCTCAAAAATAGTGGGAAACTGAATCTTTAAAATAGGGATGGAAAGGGGTGTGGGAGGGAGATAAGGGGGCCAAGCAGCCATCTAGAGTGAACAGAAGGAGAAAGAAAAAGACAGAAGGTTCTGTGTGCAGGAAGGTCCGCCTGGTCTCCGGGGCCCTGGCTCCTCACACCCGTCTCCTGGTTGCAGGCACTACTTGTTGCCCCACACGGCAAGCTTCAGGAACAGAGGGCCTGGGAGGAAGCGGCTGGACTGCATGTAGGTAGAGATCTTCTTCAGGCCCTGAGGGTGGGAAAAGAACACCAAGCCTCAGATCTGCTGCCCCACTGGAACCCAGGCAGCTCTACCCACATTTGGGACCTGGGGTACAGCCCTTCCATGTGGGAGTCAAATGTTGGGGCAAAAGATAGTCTTCTGGGGTCCCCGGCTCTGGAAAGTTAACTCTTCCAATTTCCTGTAATTCAACTGATATCCAGACTCACCACATACAGAGACTCTATACTGTATTAGGTGCCACATATCTACTAGACATGATGACATAGGTTCAGAATCTCTACATGACTCCCCTGCAAGATGGGTTCTACTGAGACTATTTATCAGAAAGGAAACTGAGGCACACAGAAGATAAGCACCTCCCTCATGCTCACACTCCACATAATTAACATGGCTAGAATGCAGCCTGCTCCCTCTCCATTCTGAGTCTCTCTGCTGTACCCCCTCCCCCATAGCTGAAATCAAGGAGGTTCACTCATCATCCACTTACACAAACAGTTAAGTGACCCTCAGGGCAGTTGCCCAACACACTGTTCCATTGTATGGGCTTTCCTTGCCGGTAGACAGGTTTGGCAACCCCTACAGGGCCAGAGAAGACTTTTCCCCCCACTGGAACGTTACAAAGAGGAGGAACATTGGTACCAGCAAGCCCCCCTGTGCTGGTCTACTTNCGCTGTTCCATTGTGTGGGCTTTCCTTGCTGGTAGACAGGTTTGGCGACCCCTACAGGGCCAGAGAAGACTTTTCCCCCCACTGGAACGTTACAAAGAGGAGGAACATTGGTACCAGCAAGCCCCCCTGTGCTGGTCTACTTCTCTACATATGAATACGAATTTGGCTGAGTTCTCTAGTGATCTCAGATTTACCATCTTGGTTGACAATCTTGAGTTTTCTTCAGTGGTAGATGAAAATGCACCAGACTTCTCAGTTCAGAAATACTAAGAAAGTACCCAGTGGAGAGAACAGGTCAGGATGAATAGATCAGGGGTTGGCTAATATCTTTCCTTGAATTGACCGCTTTACTAGAGTTGGTAGGAATATAGTATAGATACTACAGGAGAGCTCTTAGCTCTTCAGATAAGGAACAGAGCTCCTCCTGGCTAAGCAAGGCTTTCCCAGGCAATTGAGAAACTTGTAGCAGAGATAGAGGCCAGTCCTCATACCATGCAGCAGTTCCGTAGGGAAACCCACTCTTTAAAGAAACTTGACCATCTGGGAGACGCACACAAAAGGTTTGGCGATCCTGTGTTTCCAGTGCTCACAGTGGTTTTAGACTGTCAGAAGGAAAAACTGAGACATGTATAAAACCTGAAATGACTATAGGGTGACAACTAGGAGAGTTAAGCCACAAACAGCAGAAGGGCCCACTACATACAGCTATCAATAGCAATTTGTCCAGACAGACTCTGAAATGGGAAATCAAACTTTCTAGGCAAAAGAAAGAGGGGTGACAGGTTGCTAACCAGTGATTAACACCACAGGTTTGGGTACATTACATATGAAGCTTAAACTATACCAAAGGAGATCTTGTCCTAAAAATCACCAATGTGGGGTTCTTTGACATCACAAAATTGGGGTTTTTTTCATGTACATAGCTAAAGAAATGTACTATAAGATCCAACAGACTGAATAGGTCTGTTTCATTTGTATTTAGAAGCTTCTAAAAAAGGAAACGGGAAAGTAACTTCTTTCAGAAAACCAACAAAAAATTGCTTGAAATTTTATCAGAATTTTTAAAAGGCCCCTGAAGCTGGCCCTGCTCTCTACTGCTCCTCCCTGCTCCTCTAAGTATATTCTGCAATGCTCTCCTTCATGCTATTCAACTCTCTCTGAACTTCCTTTTTAAAACACCAAAATCAATTCCCACAAAAGCAACAATAATTCAGATGACTTGGTAAAATTGTGAATATTTTGGCAAAAATAGCTTTTAAAACTTTTTTTTTGACCTTGAGGAAACAAAAGGCCTTATAGAAGCAACTTGCTTCATCTCCCTGTGCCTTTGAGACATCAGTGTTCTACCGCATCTTCTTAGGCATCTTCTAGTGCATTTTGAGAGATTAGTCTCTTCAACTGTAAAGGAGCACTTATGGTGAACACAGCACACCACGCTGCATAGACTGCGATTCCAAGTCTTTTTGTCCAGCTATGTCAGCATTAGGTAAATGTGTCATTAGGGGTCCCGGTTCATAAACGGTGTTGGTTGTTGCACCCTTCCTTGTGTCTCCTTGTACAACAAAGGCCTTTACTTTCTTAGACTATATTTGGGAGTAAACTTCCTGGTTCTTGAGAAGGCTGCATCCTTTGCACTCTCTTGAGGGGATTCTTCTTGCCTCTTACTGGTTTGAATCACAACAAAGAATTCTAACAATGGATCTTTTAAGCTGGAAAAATGTCTAAATTGGTAAATTTTTAGAGACCTCTCATTGTAAACAGTTGTTTTATTGGTACCCATGGAAAGATAAAATTAAAAGGTGGATATTCACAATATTGATAACCAGCTATATCCCATTAGAAAATTAAAAGTTTAAATTAAAAAAAATTAATTAAAGATGGATACAAAGAAATATAATCATTGCTAACCTTAAGAACTTCCTTAGTTTCAAATCAATCAACCAACAAACAAAAGTTGTTCATAGAATCTTATTTGTGGTCTCACACTTCCCCTCAATTGATCTTACAGGTGCTAATAAAAACAATAGAATAACTAAAGTTACTTAGGTTAATAAACTAGGGAATAGATAAAAGCTGAGGGGAAAATCAAGTGATTTCTTCCTACAAGTAGGAAATTTTAAAGGGACTGGTCCCAATAGGATAAAAATCTTTATATGGTTATTAAGAGATGAGATAAATGAAACAGACTTTGATGGCATGAAAACAAAAGTTTTGATATAACACTACCAAATAGGATGTTTTTGATGGGCCAGAAAGACCCCTTTATCAGTCCCCCAAATATTAAAGGGACCCAAACAAGTCCACGCTACTTACCCCAGTTTAGAAAAATTTTAAAGATAAGAGGGTAAAAAAATTACACTGAGATAATTGACCAGCAATTGCATGGGGCAATAAACCAAACAATCCAGTTAAAGACTGACAAAAAGACCTGGATCCCTTGGCTCAACCCATCACTGGAGCCCAAAACCTTTTATATAGGACTGGGTATCAAATGGCTTGGGAAATAAAAAGGGAAGTTTCTAGGACTCCTTATAAGACCAAGAGTTGTTAACAGAGTCCTGACAAGGGCTACAGTTAAAAGGTATAACAGTTGATAGAACTGAGATTTGTTACAGATAAAAACAAAATCTGATGCCATGTAGGATCTGTTTCTTTTAATTTAAGCATTGCTTCCCATTGCTTTTGTTCACTAAAAGGAAACTGGCTATACATAATAGCCTACAGAGGGGAACCCTGCCCCTCTCTGCCTGAATGTTAAACCAAAGTACCTTTGTTCAAGACCCTGGCTACCTATGGATGGCTACAGGAAAGAAGAAATTAACATATCCCCTTCACAAGGCTGGCCATTCCAGAAGACATTTGCAAGATTAATGGCCTTTTTACTTTACTTTCTCACCAACTCACTCTCAGTTCTATAAAACTGAGGCATATGGGCATCCAGACCCTGATAAGTTGGTTATTTGGGGACATTTGCCTGCCATCTTCTCAGTCCACCAGCTTTCTGAATAAAGCCACATTCCCTCCCTCAACACCTTGTGTCCCAGATGATTGGCCTGTTGTGCAGCAAGCAGACCAAGCTTGGACTTGCTAACATATTTAAAAGTGGTATATTTGAACAGGCTTTATGTAAGATGGTTACATCTCTTTTACCTGATTATACTGTGGGGATATACAAACATGTCTCACTGGGGAATGCTCCCCTGCCTGGCATAAGACAGGGCATATAATCTGCCTCTCAAACAATTTTAATTAAACATAATAAAGGAAACTAATAGGGTTACCTAAGCCTACAAACTATGAGATAAAAATTGCAGTCTAATATTCAGGGCCTAATGGAAGCAATAATGGAGTTTGGTCTGGGGGTGGTTTGCTTGGTTGGTTGGTTTTATCTTTGTTCCTATGATAAATTGGCCTGAGTTTGACTTGTACACTCAGAAAGATGGCCTTCTGCAAACATTTGAAGACATGATACACTGATCCCTATAGTTCTAGAATACAGAAATCTTTTGATTTCCAGTGAAGTTGAAATTTTCCTACTGATATAAAAAAGCAAATGAAAGAAAACGTAGTTGGGAAAATCAATCTTTTGACATCATTTGGGTGGCAGCCCAGTTCTTCAGAGAATTAAAAGCAACTGTTTGTCTTGCAAATCTCCACATATCAAGGGACTTCCCTGGTGATCCAGTGGTTAGGAATCTGCCTTCCAATGCAGGGACTCAGGTTCAATTGCTGGTCGAGGAACTAAGATCCCACATGCCCTGGGGGCAACGAAGCTCACATCACAACTACTAATCCCGTGAGCTCTAGAGCCTGCACACCACAACTGGAAAAAGCCCAAGTACCACAATGAAAGATCCCGCATGATGCAACTAACACACTATGCAGTCAAACAAATAAATGTTTTTGAAAAATCTCCACATGCCAGAAATGTAAACACAGCTTACAATGACCTGAGACTAAGCAGGATTAACTTTATAAGGTAGAACCTGACACCAACGGGAAGAAATAACAGAGGCCTCTTTAAACTCAAATGGTTGGAAAGGCTTCTTCACTCACAATATACTTAACAGCCTCTTTAAGGGTTTGTCAAAAATGAGTGCAAGGACTTCCCTAGTGGTCCAGTGGTTGAAAATCTGCCTGCCAATGCAGGGGACATGGGTTTGACCCTGGACTGGGAAGTTTCAACATGCCCCAGCACAACTGGGCCCATGAACCACAGCTACTGTGCTAGGGCTCTATAGCCAGAGTGGCAACTACTGAAGTCCTCACGCTTAGAGCCCATGCCCCATGACAAGAGGAGCCACTGCAATAGAAGCCGGATGACCACACTAGAGATTAGCCCCAGCTAGCTGCAACTAGAGAAACCTGTGCCCAGGAACGAAGACCCCAGCTGAGACAAAAATAAATACATATTTTTTTTAATCTATGAAAAAATAAGAATGAATACAAATCTTATTCTTTTCCATAAGGAGTAAAAAGCCTGAAAATTTTCCTTCATTATTGGTTATAGAAAGGGATAAGCTGCCACCAACTGCAGTCACTCAAAAACAGGCTACCCTGAGGAGAGCTCAGGATGAAGAAAACCAGGATTAAACATTCTGTGCTTTGGACATAGGATCCTACAGAGAGTTAGGATGCATCCCAAACTAAGAATTACAGTGACCTAAGATTCATGCATCTTCTTACACATAGAAAAGCACTAAGTTCATTAATTTGAGATGTTGGTGTTTCAAGGATTAGCACTAATCTTTTATCAAGATGCATGCTTGGCTACATGTATTTCCTAGTCAAATATTCATATACCTTCTGTCTCCTACCCTACATCTTCAGAGCTCTTTGAGAGGCTGTCTCTTGGGCTACAGTCCTCAGTAAGGTCTTCAAATAAAACTGTAACTTGCTGCTCTTAAGTTCTGTTTTCCAATCAATATCTCATATAGGAGTATTTGTTCTTCTCTTTATGCAAAAATATTCTCTTCTTTAGAAAAAGCTCCAAGTTCCCAGGGTTTGCATAGACAGATGGGCCCCTAGCAAAGCAAAGGTGCTCAGAAAGTGCCCGAGCAACTTGCAGAACCACATCTCACCAATGACTCAGCAAAACATGGATGAAACATGATAGGAGGGTGTGAAGCACCAAGACTAGTCCAGGCCACACTCTAATTATTCCACTGAAAGGACACAGACCAACTGCCTGGCATGGGACCTGAGTCCACTCTTACTGGGCCCCAACATACCTCATCTCCAGTCCCGCTGCAGCCGACCAGGCAGCAACACTAGGTGTACCTGCGCACCACCTTCCCAAGACAGACAGTGCCCAAGAGTTCCCAGGACTCCACGATCTAGGGCTGCCTGTGCCCCACAGCCCAGGGCCCAACAGGCCACACACTGCAGCCCACATCTGTCCCCATCCTCTCTGCTGGGCAGTCATCCCAGCTCTTGCAAAATTCTCAAGGCAACAAGTCTTGGACCAAAACCAGAGCTGATGAGAACTAGCTGAGAAAGCAGATTTCATGATGAGGAGTGGGAATACGAAACAGATTGCAGGCTGAAAGCCTTTAGGACTACAGCCTCAAATTCCCCAATCCAGCACAAAGCAGACTTCTTTGCTCTCAAATTAGTTGACTGAGGGTGACAATGATGAGCTGGGAGGTGAGGTCAGGCTGTGCTCCTCCAGAACCAAGGTGGCCCCACCCACACCACACGGCTTGGGGTCCCTGTAGTTCTCCAGCTGCGCTGAACCCAAGAGGCTGGGCGCCAGGACTGCATGACTTCTGTACCCCACTGTGCCTGACACAGTGTCTCATACAGGGGAGAGGATCAGATCAGTGAACGTGACTTAAAATGAATGCACTATCGCATCTCTGAGATGGAATCTGGAGTTAACATGAAGGAAGAAGGGACAGGAGATGAGGAGCGAAGGAACTGCCCAGCATAAGAGGTGTCAAGATGAAATCCTTGCACAGGACACCTCCGTATGTACCCAAATCCCAGGACCAACTACAGCCCTGAGAATCTCAGAACAACAGGTGGAGGCTCAATTGCTGCAGAGCCCTTTAGAGATCTGGAGAAAATATTGTCTGTGTTTTTACTACTTGTTATCAATCCTACTGTGTCTCACTCTACGAATGCCAGCTTCATACCATATCCTGAATATTCTGCTTCCTCCACACTTGCCAGAGCTGTGAACACAGTCATGAAAAGGATCTGAGGTCTCTTTTTCCTACAGGAAATGAGGAGCCGCTGATGCTATCTGTGGAAGTTAGACACTCTGACTGGGAGCCCAGCACAGCTTGTACTGGTTCTGTGACCTGCAGAAACTACTTGTTCTTTCAGGTTGACTCCTTATCTGTAAAATGCATAGGATAATTCTTCTATCAAATAGCAATGTTATATAAAGATTAAATTTGACACAATATATATCAGCTGCTGAGCAGAGATTCTGGCATAAACCAAGTTCTCCATAAATGTTATTCTTCACTGTAGTTCCAACTAGGAAATCAGGGAGAATAAGAAAGAGAAGAAAGATGTAAATACTAAGGAGTTCAGGGGAATCACCTCAAAACGAGCAATGAAGTCTTTCAGGTTTGGGAATGCATCCAGGCACTTGGGCTCAAATATGCGGTGCATGTCAAGGACGTCGTAAACCAGGAAATCCACATAGGTGAGCTGCAGGAAGACAAAGCATGAATGCCGACCCAACTCTGAACCTGGGGAAAATGACAGCTACTGTGGGTGCCTGAGCAGTTTCTGGACAGTTGGAGAGAACTGGAAGCTGAAAGGAAGGAGGGAGAGGAATAAAGACTAACCCTGAGCTGCCCACTGGGGACATGTCCTGATCCCTGAGATGCCAAGAAGCAGGCTATGTGGTAAGGAGGAAAACATTCTGTTTACGAATTGAATTTCTATCCAGGGGAGCTGGACTCCTCTTAGCATTAGTGGGATACTGAGTCAGAGTTTCCAAGGAAATGTCTTGATGGATCACTAGCTCCAAGAAGATCAAAATCTAAAAGACCAGTAGATGAGATCCTGACAAGCATCTTAAACCCTCTACAACTCAGTGGGAAGGACTCACAAAGTCAGGGCTGTAGCAGATCCTGACCATGGCAAAACGGACATCCATAACTTGGTTCTCCAAAATGTCCACACGAATCATCTCCTCCTCTGTTTCCCCACCTGTGGCCACACAACAGAGACTCAACCTCAGCATCCCATTCCAGCCCAACCCAGGGCATGGCCACCTGTGTCCCTGAACCCGACTCCAGCCCTACTCACACATGTTGTGCTTGCGAGCAATGTAGCGAAGGATGGCGTTGCTCTGGGTGAGCTTGTGAGTCCCATCGATTAAGTAGGGCAACTGGAAGAACAACAGGGTCTGGTTATTTGGGCCACCAGACTCCCCAGTACCCCCTCCGTTGACCAAGGGCAGAGATGAAACCTGGCCCTCACAGAGCCTAAATACTATGGTGGGCACTAAATAATATGCTGTAAAATGGAGGGATGAGCTGGGACACAGAGCATCATGGAAGGGCAGGGGAGAGAACCAGGAAGCTGAGAGACAGAGCAGAAGGCACCTGCTCCTGAAACCTCTAAGCCAGGAAAGGAGATGGATGGAGACACTGTCCACTCCCCCTCCCAGCACCCCAGCCCCTGCACCTACATTGGGGAAGTCCAGGCCCAGCTTGAATTTTTCATTCAGCCACTGGCTTCTGTCATAGTCGGGAGCTGAGAACAAGAAGATGCAGTGAAACAACCTCCCAGGAATCCAACCCTCCTTCCTGGGGGACCCACCAAGGAGTCAGAGGCAAGACCCCCTTAACTGGTGGATATGGATTCTGAAATGGTTTTTTTTTTTTTTTTTTCTTTTTTTTCTGAAATGGGTTCTAATCTCACATGGAGCTTTGGGGGAAAGCACACTTAGAAGGATTTGGAACATCCCTGAGTTGAGGCTTACAGAGAGCTGATGCAAGCATTAAGTAGAGCCCAAGGGGCTCTCATGTCCTGCTTTGGGGGACAGCTGCACCCCCAAAGGGTTTGGGAAGGGGCAAGCCCCTTTTCCAGATGGTGGAGTTAAGGGATGGGAGTAACAAGGGCAGAACATGGGTTGCTTGGCAACAAATCACCATGAGTTGAGCAAAAGTCAGAATAGGAAAAGGATTCCATTACCATCTCCTACCGAGTACTGTCTCTCCTCATAGTTTGTGTCTGTGTACTCCAGGAGAAGGCGGATGGCATGGGCCAGCTGGGAGAGATGGTGGGACAGAGGGCAGACGTCAGTCTTGACTGCAAAACTCTCACTGTTCCAGGTCACTTCCACACCTCCAACTCCCTCAGCACCATCACCTGCACCAGCCCACCCACGCCACACACACATGCCAACACCCAGATAAGATGATCGGGTTGAGGGGAGAGGGGTTCCGCGGCAGCAAGTCCTCTGGAAGTTTCTGGTTTGAACCGACCTCAACTTTGCAGCACTTTCCCAGCGTGGCGAAGCATTTCCCCACCCGCCTCCATCTTCCCCGCCCTGGGGGACCCCTGCTTACCCCGCGGATGTCCCAGTAACCCAG